GGTTGGGCCCAGTGTTCAAAAGGAAGGAATTCCCTTTAATGGCTTCCCTTAGGATTTAATGGAAGGCCAGCTAGGGAGGTAATGAAGTGCTGGAGCACCAACTGTACAGAAGATGACATTTGTACAGTCCTTGACCACTTGTCCACACTCCCCCTTATGAATCTTTGACTAAAGTTATCTTCTTCCTTAGAAAGAGCGAGCAGATACCCTTTCATCCAACTGAATTACAAGTGACAGGAAAAATGCAGCAGACCTTTTCTGTATCACACTACTATATATAGTGCTGTTTAATTGTGATATACTCCACCTTCTCCAGGCAGCTTTTCAACTTTTTCAAATGCAATGATCCTTTGTTTTCATCTTGTATGTTGCTATTCTAATATGAGAGCTGAAACCTGATTAATAGAATACTAATTGCTTGGCCATGTATATTATAATCAATTAGCAGATTCATCTATTAATTAAATTAGCACAAGTGTGAAGAAAAAAAAACCTATTTTTGAAGTCAGTAGCATACTTGTATTGTACAAGATGAAAGCCTTATTTGAGAAAATCATTTCTTTCTGAGAGAGACTGAGAAGAGGATAAGGACTCTTTAATACTGGTACAGTATATCTTGTCTTTTTTTTTAATTAGCACCTATATAAAATGATATACAGGTATATTTTTCTCTGGTTATGTGTGTTATAAAAATATTCTGCCTGTATAATTAGAATACCTATTAAGCTTTTTAATAGGAAAAAAATCTATTAATCTTCCCAATTAATTTGATTAAATGTCACAGCTGTCATAAACACTCCCAAGTACAGTTTGAGAAATCAGTATTAAACTGAAAGTAAGTTACAAGTGTTTGTATAAGTGATTTTAAAAATAGTGAACATCCACTCAAAAGAAATGACAACTAGGAAAGAAAGACTGAATTTTGAATCAGTATCAGACTGACAAGTAAGCATAGCCTTATGCGGGCATTCAAGTTAAAATTTAAAATGGAAAGAAAAACTTAGGCAGAAATGTAAACCATATTTTGACTATAGTTGCTTTGTAAAAAAAAACACCATATGCTGAATATAAATAGCTGTATGCTTCTAAGTATGTACATCAGATCAGTATATTGGAATGGTATTACTAGGGAAGGACATGAAGATGATTTTAAGCACAATGAACCACAAGTAACACCAAACCTCAACATTCCTGATTTTATTATCCAAACCTGAGGATACAGCTTTCCCTCCATCTGAAGAGGTTTCTGCTAGGTTTTGTACTTCTCAACCAAACATGAATCTGATCATTTAGAATGATCAACAACAACAGCAACAACAACAAAAGAGAACTTCATTAAATCTACCGTCAATAGCAAGCAGGGGTGAAGATTGGGAGCAGAGATCCTGTCAACCTGGAACATCAGCTGTCTTGTGAATACTTAACCCAGCTGCCTTTTCCTGTAATATTCTTTATGGTCCTGTTAGGATCCAGACCATTTATATACCTCAGTAGCTTTTGCTAATGCTAACCTTGGTTGATATTAATCTTTATTAGGCCTTTTTCTGGATCAGGGGTGGACTGTGAGATGGTGAACCTTTTGAGCTCAGTGTGTCAAAAATTCAGAAAATGACTATCTTGTCTCTGCTGGCATCTCTCTCTCTCTCTCTCTCTCTCTCTCTCTCTCTCTCTCTCTCTCTCTCTCTCTCTCTCTCTCTCTCTCTCTCTCTCTCTCTCTCTCTCTCTTTCACACACACACACAGATATGGACAAAGGAGGAACCATTTGTAACAAAAAGAATTAAATGAAATTATCGTTTAATAAATACATATTTTTCAAAATGCCTATCCAAGTTGCATGAGACCTAGAAACTTTGGAAAATGCTCTTGCAGCCTCTAAAAAGAACGGGAAAGAATGTCCCATTTTCACACATTTTTGGAGGCTCCAGAAGCTGTGAAAGAGCAGGGTCTTCTTGTGTGACTTTGAGAGGATCTGGTGGCCTGGTGTATCATCAAAAATGACATGGTGTGTCACCTGTGACAGACGTGTCACGGGTTCGCCATCACCAGTGTAAGATGAACCCAGACTATTTGGTTAACAGTCAACAATTAATAGTTGAGATAAAGAGTGTTACCCCCACACACACACACCATGGTTAAATTGGTAACCACGGAAAGTGTTACATGTGAACCCAGCCCGCAAGCACTAATCTAATCTGGATCCTTGGCTAGTTCAAGCCTTGTACCTTCCAGGGACCAGAGAATGTGTGGCTATTGGAGAATGCCACTTTGAAGTACACGCCTAATTTATCCATGCACTTATCCATATTTCTCTTCCATCCAAAGGAAATAAGTTTGCCGTTGCAACCACTTTTATTCATAAAAGAGAATAATAAGATGAGACAATGAAGTAATAAAAAGAGTGTTAGATATAAGGAGGTTGAAACTAGGTAAAACCAACACTACAACTAGGAGCATAAATGATTTCTTTCGAAATTTGGATGACAGCAGAGGAAAAGTAGCAAACTGACCACTAACAGTTGAACATATGTCTGCAAGAGGTTGAATAATGTCCTCTACTTGACCAACATCATAAGGACAGAGACACTGCAGCAGGAAGCCACAAAACAAAAATGACCATATATTGAAGTTGGATATGTTTTCTCCTCACTGAGTTTTAAAAGGAAGCAGCCATATCGGCTGCTCTTTCAGTGTAAAGAAATAGCAATTATTTTGATAGGGATTTAAGTATGACTGTCATGCTGGATTTCTGGCAACTTGTACTTAAACATATATCCAGTATAGCAGAGGTAATTGGGTAACCACTCAGGCACAGAAACCAAACAGGATACTAATGGTAGATAGGTGGAAATCTCAATCTATTAGCATTGATGCTGGGCTTATTTTAAGGGTCAATAAAAGTTCTTCTTGATCAAGCATCAAGAGTTCCTTGGGAAAATAACAGTAAAGCCACTTGTGAAAAATACTCCAGGATCTCATCTGTCTTACCTGCAAATAACTTCAATGTCTGAGACTCTTTGAAGGACACCGGTTTCTCTTTCTAATGAGGTTCTACAAATGCTAACAGTTTATTTATCAGTGAGAGGGATGGATGGGCTAATGAGGAGCATCAGAAGGTACAGCATGTTTCTTAATTTCTTAATCTGCCAGCGATGGGCCATTTTCCTACTAATGGCTTTCATGGGTCCAGATGCCAGAACAACAAAAATAGACAGCTTTCCTCGCCACTAAGTGGTTTGGAACATTGAACCAGAAATGAGGAGGTAAAACTCCGGAACATCATTAAAGTTTTATTAAACCCAGCTTGTTGTTTTATGGATCTGTTCTTGCTTTATTTGCCTTATGATAAAAGAGCAAACCTTCCCAGCATTATGTTAAACTTAACTTTTTCATTCCGAGCACAAGACAGCCACGAGGCAGCAAATTAGAAATTATAATGCAATTCTGTCATGCACAAAATATTAATATATATTCTTTTTTTAAAAAAAAAACAACAACCAAGACCTCCTCTCCATAATGAACTGTTGTTGGTATTAACCAGAAGGTAGTGTGGAATTCACACTGATTTCCAACTTGCTACAAAGTACTCTCTCAATTTATTTTAAATGTCACTTTACTATATTTTCATCAGGTCTACCATCGTGGTGATTGTAATTAATTTTATAGTATACTTAATGCAACTACCATATGGAATCTTCAGGGGATGATTTCTATGAATAGTTTAGAACTTCACTATGAGCTGAGACTTTATTAACCCCCAAATGTTTGGAAAACCTACAGGGACATCTGTCTATCTAATATCCACCCACCATGTTAGAGAAAATTCAAGTGAATTATCAGTAGCATCAGCATCCTTTGTCCTTCTCATCTTCAATTGTGCAATCTTAGATGCAGGGCATTTCAAACTGTATTCCACGGAACGTAGGGTTAGGGTTTCATGAGAGATTAAGGAGGGGGGATGTATTCTCTTGAAAGCAGCCTACAACTTTGGCTCTTGACCGGAGCTTCCCGATTTTTTTTTTTTAAAAATTAACTAACAAGAGTCTACAGCCAATTTTTTTAAAAAAACTTGTGCTAGAACACCACAACAATTGACCCATATTTACAGTGAGTTCATGAACTTAACCTGCCAAACTGCTTGCTTTTATTCCTGTTCCATTGAAATAAGTCCATATCACCAGATTTGTTTTTCATTGCTGGAAAATTGGGGAAAGCAACTCACTTTCTCTTCTGCCTTCATACTGAAAATGAAATAATTGGGGTGAAAAAAAAGCAAGCCGTCCTTTCTGCAATAAACTTGTTAGAATCTTTGATTTCTGTCAAGCAGCAACTTGACCAGTACTAGAAGTATTAAGTCATCAGCAGCCACAATGAATATTGATTATTGGAGCCCTGAGCAAAATACCTCGGTCCTTTTATTCTCTTCCTTTCTCTCTCTCTCTCTCTGCATTTGTTCTTTCTATCCCACTATGTAGCAGAGTGACATCTTTTTCATTTTTTATTTAGATTTTGGGTGTGTTGCAGGCAGAATAGCTGATGACTCTATATTTGGAAAGCTGGCAATTACCCCAGTACCAAGTACAACAATGCAAACAAAACCTCAGAGATTTTCAGTTATGAGGACAAGGGGAGAAATGGTCTATCACCAGGTTTAAGCAAAATGGCATTGCTTAATGAAAACATCTAATTATAAAGGAAACAGTTCAATTCTGTGTAGGTTCTGTGTTCACTACAGTTCTCGTTATAGCTCTATTTGTACTGGTAACAATATACAAGTATTAATATTAGATGGGAAACTACAAACATTTCCCAGGCTTGAACAAACTTCCCAGAAGAAAAGAAATGTAAAATTATTTACTGAATGCTGCCAAGAAAACTATACTGTTGTATCCATGAAAGCACCATGTCAACTTTATTTGGAAGAGCTTTTACTTTACCAGAAAATTCCCTTTATAGAGGCACAGCATATGGATATCAGATGTTCACCAAACGCAATCTTACCTTCATAGGTTGCCTGAAATCCTTGAGCACTGACAGCATAGTCACTTACGAGCCACAAGGACAGCACCACTCCAGTACTCACAATGGGAGGAGGCAGCTGGAAACCTGTGAGCCTGGAAGAAATCAAAGGAGAGAGTCATAATAGGAACTTCCTAATGAAACACAATTCAGATTATCACTTTCCTGTTGATCCGTACAATAGTTTCAACTGCAGAAAACAATGATCCTAACCTCATCCATATCAAGCATTAAGCTATTAGGATGTGATGGTTGGTGACCACGGAGGGAGAGCTGGGGGGAAGGACTACACTGAAGTGACAGTTTCCAAGGAAGGAGTGAGAACATTCCAAGGAGAGGACAAGACAAAAGGCAGCACAGTTCAGTGCTGGACAGGAGACAGAGGAAGGGAATCAGATAGCCACAACCTACAATCTCCCAGAGTATATCCATTATGGCAAGAGTAGCATTAATTTTAGTTTGGCAAGATTCTGTCTTTTTGATGTGAGCAAAGAAAGAACTGAACTTCGGCTGGATTGTTCTATGTCATTCTTGGGCTGGGCTTGACTAAGGGAGTTTGTAGGTTTGTGTTTAACTTTAGTGTAGCGGGCATTATGTGTAAATCTAGCTACCACAAATACTTAACAAAACATGCTTGTGAGTCTAGCTCGTATAAAAAATAACCGTATCCAGAAACCTATTGGGAAACAATACAAGTGCAATGGGCTTATGGCAACAAGACCAACCAATGCATTGGCTGTTGTGTTTGGCACCTCCTGCATTTTCAAAATGGTCTTCAAAGGCCATTCCTGGTGTGGAGTCATGGTTTCATCCTGCAGGTAGTCTCACTTATTATGGCCATGTCATGTAAGGGAATTAACTGGAGAAAGCAAAGTTGGGAAGAGATAGCAGTAAAAAGAAGCCAGGCCACCAAAGAACACGATGACTATATACCATCAAAGCTGATACCAGCCAGAGCATAAAAAAAACTCAAAGAAGCACAGCAAGATCGGAAGAAGTGGAGAGACCTGGCCCATAAAATTGCCGAGAGCTGGACATGACTAAATGGATATCATCATCATCATCCTCATCCTCATCGCATCCAGTTATAGTGAAAGCCTGAAAAGTAGACAGATCCCACCCCAACTAAACATATTGGGTGAGGATGAGGCTCTTCTGGAGAGTGGTTGAAAATTACATTGGATGACACCGATTCTGCTTATTGGTTTTGCAAAATTTAACATACAATTTATCACAAATGTTTTATTTTTTTTATGCAGTTGTTATATAAGTTATTTTTGTTGTGGTAAAATGCTGGGAGTTCTGTGAGATTCCATGGCTTATGCAACAAATACATGAATGTTAGGTCATATCATAAAAATGAAGCTTACAAAATAGTTTTGAATAAGTCTTCCCTTCTAACCTACCTGACAGGGGTCTTCTGGAACTAGCTAAATGCCCTAAGCTCATGGGAAAAAATGCTAACATGCTTTCCTCTGTCCTCCCTCCCCCACAAAAATGCATTTATAAGAAGAAATATAGTGACACTTTCTTAGCAAAAGATCATTGCTGAGTACAATCAAAGGAAATCTAAGAAGAAAATGCCTACAGAACTGGGGAACAGAGTTTCAAATCTAAATTCTGCATGAGCTATGTCTGAGGAGCAGGGTTATAAAACACAGCCATTCATACATCATTAATTAATCCTTTGTTTAGAACTATAAATTTTCCAGCCCAAAGGAAAACAGTATGATTTTACATGCCTTGGAATGCAAGAGTTCACACCACAAAGAGCTTGTGAGAGAGCAAGTCAGTATCCATTCAGAGATGCTGTAACAATCATGAGCTTCTTTTACTATAATTGCTCCATATTTTATTCCACCCCAAACCATCATCATTACTGTCAACATATACTGCATTACCCAATGGTAATAAGAACTGGCTGCCTTCTAATGATTTGCTACAGCTTGTCAAATGTGCTACAGCTTCAGCTCAACATTGTGCGCAGTGTAAAATATCTGCACAAGGACAGAGAAGGATACATACTCAGACATGCATTGGGGGGATATGTCTTCCCCCAAACAACATTTCTTATTCTTTGAAACAGACTGCCAGTCATGCCTCAGATTAATTTCATATTGCTCTTTCAAAAAGGAAGGAAGGAGAAAGAAGATGAGTGGAGGGAGGGAGGAAGATGAGTGGAGGAAAGGAGGAGAGTGGAGGGAGGGAGAGAGGGAGGGAGGAAGAAGAGTAAACAGTTCTATAGTGGAATGAAGGGGGGAGAGAAATAAAAAGAGGGAAGGTGGTCCTATTTACTTGTGGCTTTGATTATTTCAGTTGAAGGAAGATTTATTCTCTCAAAAAATAGAGAATACTTATACCTTTGATTTTTCCTGCCTAAATGTAAAACTTTGCTTTCCCCCCATTAAAATTCATTTTGTTGGATAGGGCCCATTGTTCAAGTCTGTCAAGATCTTTCTGGATCCTTAGCTTGTCTTCTGGGGTGTTGGCTATTCTTGCCAGTTTAGTGTCATCTGCAAATTTGATGAGTTCCCCATCTATTCCCTCATTTAAGTCATTTATGAAGATATTAAGATGGAGCCTTGTGGTACCCCACTGCTTATTTCTCTCCATGTGGATGTAGTACCATTGAGGATTACTCGTTGAGTACAGTTTGTCAGCCAGCTACAAATCCATCTGGATGTGATGTTGTCTATTCCACATTTTTCTAGCTCACCAAGAACTAGGTTGTGGTCTACTTTGTCATAAGCCTGACTGAAATCTAAGTATACTATGTCCACAGCATTTCACTGGTCTATTAATTTAGTCACTTTATCAAAGAATGAAATAAGGTTGGTTTGGCATGAACTGTTTTTAACACATCTGTGCTGGGTATTAGTTATAAGTTTTTTTTTGCTTCTAGTTGTTCGCAAATCTGTTTTTTTTTTATTAAATACATTTCTAAATGTTGGGTAACTTTTTAATAAGTACGTGCTAGCAGACTGGAACTGCAAATCAAGCCAGCTCATGTTGGGATTCACAAAAGCAGTTTCTATGTGGTAACTGGCTCCTGGAGCAATTCCCCAAGGAGTTTGACTGCAATTCTTAAGGTTGCAAACCATACTGAGATAAATGGGAAAAAACAGTTTGAAGACAGATGAAAAAGGGACATGAATTATATCTTATTTGCCAGCGCAGCAAATTATATAGTTTGCTTAATGAAGACCAATGTGGTATGTGAATTAAAGATAACATCAACATTTCGTAGCCCTCCCAGATTCTTTCCATAAATGAATTTTATTCTGCAGCTAGATGTTAATTTTATTAATATAGGTTGGTTCAGCAATAATTCCTGAACTAACATTATGACATCCTAGGTATTAATTCCCAGCTGTTCTATTGACATAGCTGGGAAATGGCTAATATACATTTCTGATTAACAATTACAGTTTTATCTACTAATCCTACAACCTCCCACTTAGCTAAGGCAATTTATAAAATAGGCTTAAAGGAAGGATTTATTTTAAAGGGGGAAAAAAGGCTTTCTCTCTCTCTTTCTGCGTCCATCAACTTAAGAGGTAAAATTCTACCATATAAAAATATACCAAGGACAACTGATAAGTCTGTGGCATTCCATCAAGGAAAAATAAACCTTTAAAAAAATGCAGAAGTTGGAAACAAGGTTATATCTCGCTTTTCAAAAAGGCTGACAAGAGGAATCTTGGGAGTTGGCCCCAACAGACCTGGAAGTCATCAAGTCATCAAGTTGGGGAAGGCAGTTGTCTGTCATCTCATTTTATTCAAGATAATCCAGACAAATTTTGAACTTGTACTGATAGAAGGTACATTTCCAAGAACCATATACTTGTTCCTGTTTGTAAAAAAAAGAGAGAGAGAGAGAGAGAGAGAAAATAATAATAGCACCAGAAAACTGTCCCACCCTGGTTGCTAATTATTTGTCATCCTCAATTCCAAACCCTCAGAATTTTACTGGATGGCAACCAGAAGGTTTTGGAGAGGCGTAGAGGAAAAAGGAGAGCTGTCATTATTTTTATTTATTAAGGTGCTGTATTTTGTACCTTGTCAACCAATTTGCAACTTGATGCCCTTCAGATGTGCTGAATTTCAATTCTCAGAAGACCCAGCAGGAATGTTAACATATTTGAAGGGCATCAGGCTAAATAAATGAGAAAGCAAGAAATTAGGAGGATTGAGCTTCATGTCAACTAAATTTTCACAGATACAAGTGGTGTAAGAAGAGATTGTACTGCAAAACAATGAAAGCAATCATTTGATAGTAAGCCAAAGGTATTAAAAGCCTGAAATAAATAAGAAAGAAAAGGAAATGTAGCTTACCCCCACAGTATTTAACATAGATTTCCAAATGTGGCTTACCCCCACAGTATTTAACATAGATTTCCACATCTTTTATCCTTCCAGATAATATTTACTTTTACTATAATTATATGCAGGTTCACACAAAGTACAAGGGGAAAAAAGTTAAAACAACAGATAATTTCCAATACACCTTTTTCATTTTGGGAAGAAGATCGAATCTAAGTTCCATTATACAAAGAATCAAACCAGTATCATTTAAGATTCCTCAGAAGAATTCTACATACATTTTAATGTGAGTTCAGCTTAGAATTCTGATGAAACTATTAATTTTGGAAAATTCAAAATGACTACTGAGCAGAGTGCTGTTGGTTTTCATAACAATGGGAAACAACCTGGATAATCTCACTAGTTGTAAAATGTATTTTGACCTATTTCACCATTCAGGATCAGATGAGCTGTATATTTAAGCAGATGAAGACAATTAACTATAACCTTTGATATTAAATACAGGAAAGATCCCACCAATTTACAACTCCAGGGAGCCTGCTTGTTATTTTTGCCCTTGAAAAAATAAATTAAAATTTTAACGATTAAGTAATATACTCCTTTGAGATCCCACTGGAAATGTGTAAATAACATGCCAATGGAATCCTGCCTAAACAAAGAGATCAGACATTCCATGCCTCAATGGTTTTAAGAGGAAACCTTGAGAGTCATTATCAAACAAGCTGTTCTTTTTATACTGTCTAAATGCAGTCATTTCGATTGCATTATTTAC